AAAAAAAAAAAAAAAAAAAAAAAAAAAAAAAAAACCCTGCAGTATGACTTTTTATAATTGTTTATTGTTGTTGCTGTTGTCCATTGTTGTCATCTTTCTTTGTTGAAATCAGGTCTCTCTTGTAAATGAGTCCTCGAGGCTCAATGGGATTTACCTGTCTAAATAAAGGTTGATTGATTTTAAACATGCATGGAAGTCAGACACCCAAATCTGAGGTGAACCCATCATAGCATCTCAGTGCAAATTAAACTGTTTGGTCAAAGAGTGTCAGGTTTTATCCAGAATAAGACATCAATCGTCCCTCAACTACTTCTGGTAAACGTGCGGGGTGAGGCTGAAGCACATTTCCTCTCATTTCACTTGGGATGTGTCACTTCCTTTCACGTGTTTTGAGCTCTGCCTCACATCTGTAATGTCTGTGTTATTGTCTCTTTTACGTCTTTTGTTTCTGGTAACTTTCACGACTCACACCCATTGCAGTCTAACTGGGAATTTTTTTTATCTAACTGGCACCACTTTTACTCGGAAGCAAAAAGCACTACGAATTTCCCAAATGAACAACAAATAACTTGTACTTTCTTTTTCCCCCTTACTTTTTTTTTGGGTTGGTTGGTTGGTATTTTCATTTCAGTGAAAGGCCTGTTGAGAAGAACCCAGGAAAAACTGCTAAACTATGGAAAACAATGGTCTGAGTGGCCAGTCGGCCGGCAGTGAGCAGCAAAATAATTTCAGGGAGCAGAGCAGCTATAGTTCTCGTTTCCTTTTTTCCTCATTTTTTAAAATCCCTACCATCAAAAGGCAAAGGGGAACAGTTATATCTTACACATCTGTTTGCATGAGTCTCTTTACAAAATATCCCTTGAACCACTAGAAAAATTTTAATGAAACTTGCAGAAAGTATGCATCGGATGTACATAAAAAAAATAATTACGATTTGAAGTCAACCTAAGTCAACATGGCTGGCACAGCCAATTAGCTTTTAAAAAGAGACATATTTGGTGCGGTAGTACCTGAGATTGATCCCCATCCTATACGCTGAGAGCTAATAGACTGTATAAAATCTTTGTTTAAAAATGTTGTCATTGTCTATTCTGAGTCAACTTTGTCTATTAGCAAAATATTTCACAAACAACTGAACAGATTTTAATAAAACTTACAAGAAATGATCAGTAGATATACAGTACTTTTACAAATAATTAGCATTTGGACTGTACACAATTTAAGATGGTTGCCACAGTCAAATGACCTTTGAAAACACTTGAATCTGTGATTCAATCCATCTGACAGATAGTGAACAAAGATTTGCTGTGGTAACAGCTGAGAGTCATCCTAGCTCATACTCTTAGTTTGACATCTTGTAATACTGTATGGGATTGCACAAAATGTTATATTCTAAGTTTGATTAAAACACTTATTTCCTCATTTCTTAACATGACCTGATCTCAGTCTAAAACAGTGGCGGATGATGTGCATGCCTTTAAGGAATATTTTTATCAGTCATCACCAGTCACCATTGATTTAATCCAGAATTAACACAAAAATCCACAAACAGCTTTCTGGGCTGTTGTGAAATTTCCAATGAAACACTTATTTCTGTTCGAGTCAGGGGCGACAAAAACAACAATAAAAATACCTCAAGCACGTGACGTCAGTAAAGTGTTTCAGTCCTTGGTTTGCCTACGTTCAGGGAGTTGCAGCCAGACTGAAACCATTAAGTGTAAGTGCATGACATAACTTCTCCCCCCGTGCCAACCCTCCTTCATACTTCCGTGGTGTTTCAACAGTTACTGACAGTGAGCGTGAGTCCATAAACACTCTCACTGAGTTAAATCACAGATCACAGCGTGGGATGAGGATTACCACATCACACGATGCAAGAAAATGTGATTTAATATTTCCACAAACATTGAAAGTGACTACAATCACAGGTTCTGTTTCAAAGGTTTTAATTTGGAGATTTAAAAAAAACCTGCTTAAATTAAACTAATATTGATGCTTATTAGTAAATAAGATGAGGCAACACTGTTTTCTTTTTGTGTATATGTTTAAGGGAGTACACTGGATTAGACCATCTTTTTATTTATTTATTTGTCAAAAACCAGTGTTAAAAGGGAAATATATATAATTAGGGTTAATTAGCTGAAAAAAAGTAAAAATTTCAGATTTGCAGCTATAAGGTAGAAAAAAAAAAAAACTTCCACGATGCTTTATTCATTCTTATTCCACTTTATTGTTCTTATCTAACACATTCTGTTGCAAAATGCGATCCGAAATCTCCTTTTTGTTATTCATTTGCCCCACTCTGGGCCCTTGAGCAAGGCCCTTAAACCCACCTTCTACTCCCAATACATGTCTCTCTTGAAAATGAGTCCTTGTGGCTCAATGAAACTACTTGTATAAATAGTTAAATAAAAATAAATTGTAATACTTTTTATTGTTTTTAGCATCCATTCTTTTTTTTTTTTTATTGTTATTGACATTTCATTTTATTGATCAAGGTTTTAAAGCCCACATGTTCTGATCCCGGGCAGCACAGTGGCACAACTGGTAGAGCTGCTGCCTCTCAGCGAGCAGGTCCCTGGTTCAAACCCTGGTCCAGGGGCCTTTCTGGGTGGAGTTTTCATGTTCTCTCCGTGCATGCGTGGGTTTTCTCCGGGTGTTCCGGTTTCCTCCCACAGACCAAAAACATGCATGTTAGGCTGTTTGGTAACTCTAAATTGTCTCTAGGTGTGAGTGAGAGAGTGAATGGTTGTTTGTCTCGTTTGTCTCTATGTGTCCCTGTGATGGACTTGCGACCCGTCCAGGGTGTACCCCGACCCTCGCACAGTGATTGCTGGACATGGGCACCGGCGACCCCCGTGACCCAAAATGGAATAAACGGGTAAAGATAATGGATGGATGGATGGGTAAAGATAATGGATGGATGTCCTGATCCCCTTTCTACCTTCCACAAACTTACTGGTATTTCATGACAGTCAAAAAACTCACATCTAACAAAGGAATCATTTTGAATTTGTTCATAACCACTCATTTGCAATTTTCCCTTCTTGTGCAGCTGGTACTAAAAAAAAAATATTTCAAAAAGTTTTTAACCATGAACCCATTTTTTACTGCACAAATAAAAGAGACTTCAATACATAAAATAAAAGTATTTTATGTTTACTTTTTTATTTAATGACAGGAATTTAGGAACATGAAGCCCTTTCTACAAGTTTTAATCAACTCCATGCTCCATAATTGACCAGTTCTGCCTACAGCAATGATAAAGTGCTGCCCTGTCCCTTCCACAATCCTGCATGTTTTTAGATGTTTCTCAGCACACCTTAACTAAATGAACAGGTGAAAGATATGTATCTGCAGTACTTGAAGAGATGCTGAGGGGGCAATTGAATAATTGAATTAGGTGTGTGATGTAGGGAAACAACCCAAACCTGCAGGACAGTGAAATCAGGATTAGATTTCATTGAAAATATTCTTAAAAGTTACAAAAAACACAATACTTTAATGTAAAAAAATAAAAACTGAATATTTAGTTGAATTTTAAAGGTGCACGTGTGGTTTTGTTGGTGATATGTTTAGCAAACGTTTGTTCCCCTCAGTCATGACCCCCAACATTAGAGATCTCTGGTTTAAGGAGGTTAAATTGGAAACAGTCCCAGTCTTAAACCATTCATCCCGCCCTTCACGTGTCAGACCGAGTGGCAGAGTTTGCTGTTGCCTGTGAAAGTTTGGGAGACCCTGACCTCACAGTGCCTCTCAGCTCCTCCAGGGGTGGAGCCTGATGACTATGAGAGGGCGTGGGTTCTGATGCAGCATGGTGGGGATAAAAGCCACTGCTCCTTTGAGAAGAGAACACATCTAAGAAAGTACAAGCTGCTTTCTGTTTGATTGCATCTCACTTGCACAGCTGGCTCCTGCTTCAGCATCCAAAGATGACTCTGATGATGAAAAGCTGTTTCGTCTCGCTGACCATCCTGTTTCTTTGGCGAGTGGAAGACGGGGCAGAAGCCTGCAGCTGTTTCCCTAAACATCCTCAGAAGATTTTTTGCGAGTCAGATGTTGGTAAGTTTAATTTTCTTACAAGGAATCAATAAGATGGTCCCTTTTGGGGAGTTGTTTTTTTTTTTTTTTTGACAATATGCTCAGTTTTAAAACACCCAGCTCTTTTTTTTATAAGTATTTAAAAGAGAAGGGTGTAGTTTATTTTACTTCCCTCTATTTCTTTCAAGTACTGGTAACTGGATTTTCCTGTAAACAATTAAAGATTCAGCTTAGTATATCCCAAATCTGCAGGCTAAAAGAATTTAATCTTAATAAAATACTGCATTTAAAAATATCCAGTCTTTGTCTTAATAGGTGAAACTGTTAAATTAACGTGAAACGCATGCCTTGCACATGGGTAAATGAGTTTTAGATAATTTTCAACTGGTTATTGCGAATCGTAGTTTTTCTCTAAGGGATGTAAAGATTCATCCATGTAGTTTAACAAGAACATGTACTATTTCTCAGTGTAATATTCAACTTTAAGACCTTGATTCTTAAACATATGGACTACTTTCAAAGAAGAAAAACATCTTATCCTGTTTTAACATTTTACAGAAGTCTGCTTGTTGCTTTCTTGTATGATCTTAAAGGTAATGAGATTCTTAGCAGTTATGTTGTTAAGGCTAGTTTTTATCTATAGTGAAATGTTTACCCAACAAATCTTTCAGAGGGGAAAATCCAGGTATTTTTATTATAATTATTTAGTGACCAATTTGCAATATATTCACTCATTCATTTTCAATATTTAATTTGAGTCATGTTTAACAAATGCATTTTATTTCTCCCATTTATTTCTCACATTTGAACTAGAATCTTGGATTTGACTTATAACTTTATGTGCTTTAAGCCTTGATGCATGTCATGTAAAGATGCCTTTTCTAATTTGTTCTGGGTGGACTTGTGTTGAATGTGTGGAAATTTTCGTGTAGGACATTTTATGTCACAATTTCTGGAATTGCTTAAAATGCTCAGATTTTACTTAAATCAGGTTATCTGTAGTTTTGTCTGGGTAATAGGATTTCAGCTTCACTAGTTGTTTTCTGAAATTGCAGAGGCCTTATGTTTGCTTTTTATTGTTGGTTGTGTGTTTTTTTTATTTTTTAGAATCAGTAAATTGAATTATTTCACCTCTTTAAGAATAAAACTTTAAGGTAACTATAACTTTTAGGATAAATGCAACATTATAAATTGTGCAAACAGCTGACAGTAAAGCCAGACTATTTCCCACCTTTTAACAGGAATGAAATGGATGTGTGAAGTGTTTCATAACAGCTGCTCTAATCTTGTTTTTAATAATTGTACAGACTTGTCTAACATATTCATTGTGATCTTTGATGCATTATCACATGCAGAAAAAAAAAGGTCCATATTTTTTAGTTCGGCCCACATTTGTTTCTGTCTTGAACCAAGTGCAGTGTAGAAAACAATATAGATGAGTTGTATTCCAGGTATGTGGTGATTTGCAGCTTTGTACTTGTTCACACATCTTCTCGTGTGAACTATATATTTATCCACAGAGATGTATACTGGATATGTTACTGTACAGCATTTGAGTTCCACATGAACAGCTTTGTTGTACCTCACCATCTATATCCAGAGGGAAACTGGTTGAAAACCATACAGGCAAAGGGGAGATTTTTCTGTCAGCTCCAGTAATGGGCAGCACACATTACAGGTCCTTCTCAAAAAATTAGCATATTGTGATAAAGGTCATTATTTTCCATAATGTAATGATAAAAATGAAACTTTCATATATTTCAGATTCATTGCACACCAACTGAAATATTTCAGGTCTTTAATTGTTTTAATACTGATGATTATGGCATACAGCTCATGAAAACCCAAAATGCCTGTCCCAAAAAATTAGCATATCATGAAAAGGTTCTCTAAACAAGCTATTAACCTAACCATCTGAATCAACGACGTAACTCTAAACACCTGCAAAAGATTCCTGAGGCTTTTAAAAACTCCCAGCCTTGTTCATTACTCAAAACCGCAATCATGGGTAAGACTGCCGACCTGACTGCTGTCCAGAAGGCCATCATTGACACCCTCAAGCAAGAGGGTAAGACACAGAAAGAAATTGCTGAACGAATAGGCTGTTCCCAGAGTGATGTATCAAGGCACCTCAGTGGGAAGTCTGTGGGAAGGGAAAAGTGTGGCAGAAAACTCTGCACAACGAGAAGAGGTGACCGGACCCTGAGGAGGATTGTGAAGAAGGGCTGATTCCAGAACTTGGGGGACCTGCGGAAGCAGTGGACTGAGTCTGGAGTAGAAACATCCAGAGCCACCGTGCACAGGCGTGTGCAGGAAATGGGCTACAGGTGCCGCATTCCCCAGGTCAAGCCACTTTTGAACCAGAAACAGTGTCAGAAGCGCCTGACCTGGGACTGCTGCTGAGTACTCCAAAGTTATGTTCTCTGATTACAGTAAATTTTGCATTTGCTTTGGAAATCAAGGTCCCAGAGTCTGGAGGAAGAGAGGAGACACAGAATTCACATTGCTTGAGGTCCAGTGTCAAATTTCCACAGTCACTGGGGTGTCATGTCAGCTGCTGGTGTTGGTCCACTGTGCTTTATCAAGGGCAGGGTCAATGCAGCTATCAGGAGATTTTGGAGCACTTCATGCTTCCATCTGCTGAAAAGCTTTATGGAGATGAAGATTTCATTTTTCAGCACGACCTGGCACCTGCTCACAGTGCCAAAACCACTGGTAAATGGTTTACTGACCATGGTACTACTGTGCTCAATTGGCCTGCCAACTCTCCTGACCTGAACCCCATAGAGAACCTGTGGGATATTGTGAAGAGAAAGTTGAGAGACACAAGACCCAACACTCTGGATGAGCTTAAGGCCGCTATCGAAGCATCCTGGGCCTCCATAACACCTCAGCAGTGCCACAGGCTGATTGCCTCCATGCCACGCCGCATTGAAGCAGTCATTCATGCAAAAGGATTCCCGACCAAGTATTGAGTGCATAACTGAACATGATTATTTGAAGGTTGGCGTTTCTTGTATTAAAAACACTTGTCTTTCATTGGTGGGATGAAATATGCTAATTTTTTGGGACAGGCATTTTGGGTTTTCATGAGCTGTATGCCATAATCATCAGTATTAAAACAATTAAAGACCTGAAATATTTCAGTTGGTGTGCAATGAATCTGAAATATATGAAAGTTTCATTTTTATCATTACATTATGGAAAATAATGACCTTTATCACAATATGCTATTTTTTTGAGAAGGACCTGTATTTGATTGCAGCTGATGAAACTCTTGCTGCTTCAATCCTTCCTGGCTCATGCAAGCCTTTAGAATCTAAGCTACGGCCACATGTTTATGTTCTCAACCCAAAGCTGTCTGTGTTAATGTGATGGTTTTTTTTTTGTAGTTTTCAGGGCAATAGTCATTGGAAGACAGGAGATTGGCATTGACCCCATGATCAAAACAGTCAAATATGATGTCAAAGTGACTCAGGTATGGGACGAACTGCTCTTTGATTCTGTTGATGTCATTTTATATCATCTAGCAAGGCTGAGTCAGGTCCTCTGCACAATTTCTTCTTTGTTGAAACGTTTTGGTTTTTTTTATCCAAAAGACTTCTTCAGTCTGAGGAGCTGCAACAAACCATAAGAAGCATCTTCTCATAGTGGATCAACAAGTGTGCTGGTGACAGCCAGAAGTAGTTGTTCACCTGCAAAAGATGACCATCAGCCGAACAACTGATCGTTAGTGCCCTGACGCCCGCTTGCTATTCACAGACGGTTGAGTGATAGTTGTAATAACAGCATTGTAAGAGGGGGACAGTTGAACATGGAGGCATCTGCCCCCGTCTAAAAATAGATGGGTTTTCTTCACAAAGACGGCCTCCTTTACTCCTCCCTCGAACCATCATTCCTCTCTATCCAGGATGTGCACATCTTCATCCATGAAAGAGTGACCGCTGGCCTGGAGATGAGTGTAGACCGCAGAGTCCTGGCCTGATGATGTTGATCTTCTGTGCTGGGCCATCCTTTTGGCCAGTGGCTGTTTAGTTTCCCTGATGTAAGACTGATCACAGCCCGCCTGACACTGAACAGCATACACAACATTACTCTGTTTGTGCCAGTGGACCGGATCCTTGGAATGAACCAGTATTTGCCGTAATGTATTTTGGGGTTTAAAAGCCATTGGAATGTCATATTTTGAAAATAAATGTTTCAGTTTGTCTGAAACTCCTTCAACATATGGAATGACCACTGGTCTGGGTCTGGGTTTTCACCTGATGGCTGACTGGAGTCTTGTTTGGGTTTCTTTTCTGCTTTCAGTAAGGCCCAGTTAGGATATCCACATTGCTCTAGAGCCTGTCCTGTGTGGGGTTTCTCCTTCTGCCTGGCTCCTGAGTTATTGGGGACACTGTCTTCTCTGTGGTACAGAGTCCTGATGACTCCTAACTTGTGCTCCAGAGGGTGATAGGAGTCAAACTGCAAATACTGGTCTGTGTGGGTGGGTTTGCGGTACACCTTAGTTTGCAAATGACCTCCTTCAGAAACTGAGACCTCACAGTCCAAGAAAGCCAACCTGCCATCTTTTACATCTTCTTGTGTGAACTTTATATAATTATGCTCAGAGTTGATGTGATCAGTGAAATGTTAGACTTCCTGAGATTTAATTTTAACCCAGGTGTCATCAACATACCTGAACCAATGACTTGGTGGTGTCCCTGAAAAGGACGTCAAGGCTTTGTTTTCTACTTCCTCCATACACAGGTTTGCAACAACAGGAGAAACTGGAGACCCCATAGCACACCCATGTTTCTGCCTATAATAGTGCCCCCATGTGTGAAGTAGGTTGACTGCAGGCACAGTTTCAAAAGTTGACACAGGTGCTCTGTAGAAAAAATGGTCCAGCTGCTCAGAGTGGTGTGTGATTTTAACATTAAACTGACCACCTCTCCTACCTCAGCAATAGGAACGTGTATAAAGAGTGATGTGACATCAAAGACACCGTAGTTTCATCAGTCTCCATGATGACATCCCTCACTTTATACACAAAGTCCATGGAGTTCTGTATGTGATGTTCTGAGCTGCCAACTACTGTAAAGGACTGAGTATAGACGGTGGGTCAAAAAGAGGATCCCAGACCGAGACCAGTGGTCATTCTGTATGTTTTGGGAATTTTAGTGAAACAGATGTTTATTTATTAAAAGTGATGTTCCAGTGGTTTTTAAACACCAAAATACATAGTAGCAATGACTGGTACATCCAAAGATCCGGTCCCATGTCACAGAGCAATATTGTGTATGCTGTTCAGTGTCAGGAGGGCTGTGATCAGTCTTACATCAGGGAAACTAAACAGCCACTGGCCAAAAGGATGGCCCAGCATAGAAAAGCAACATCATGAGGCCAGGACTCTGCAGTCTACACTCATCTCCAGGCCAGAGGTCACTCTTTCAGGGATGAAGATGTTCACATCCTTGATAGAGAGGGACATTGAGGAAGGAGTAAAGGAGGCCATCTTTGTGAAGATAACCCGCCCTCCGTTACTCCGTGTTCAGCTGTCTCCCTCTCATAACGCTGTTATTGCAAGTATCACTCAGCCCTCTGTGAATAGCAAGCGGCCATCAGGGCTCTAACAATTGGTTATTAGGCTGATGGTCCGAGTTTTGCATATAAACAACTAGTTTTGGCTGCCCTCAGCAAACTGATTGATCCACTATAAAAAGGTGTTGCTCATAAGACTGAGTTTGTTCCAGCTCCTCAGACTGAAGAAGTCTTTTTGATAAAAGACAAATTATTTAAACAAGCAAGAATCTGTACAGAGGACCTGACTCAACATTGTTAGGTTTATCTACCTGGATTATTGAGCATACATCAGGACAACTTGTTTATCAGTTTTTGTTCTTTGTATGGCTCAGGTGTTTAAAGGCCTTACTGGGAATATTGATGCAGTCTACACTCCTTACCACTCTGCAACGTGTGGAGTCACTCTGGACACTGATGGAGGAAAACAATACCTTATCACAGGTAGAAATTTGTTTGTAAAATGCACCAAAATTGCTGAAATTTTCTTCTCAAATTTTCCCTCAACTGATTGCTGCGTCTGTACTTAAATTGTAGGCAGACTGGGAGATGATGGGAAAGTGCAAATCTCACTGTGTGACTTCATTGGGCTGTGGGATGACTTGAGTGCCGCCCAGAGGCTGAACCTGGTTCAGTGTTATGAAAGAGGCTGTGGCTGCACGGTTTGTGAAAATTTCACTTGTAAACTGTGATGAATCTATGAAGTTAAAATTCTGAAAAGTGAAAGAATGAGGTTTAAATCTGTCTTTTATCTTTTAACCCCTCAGATCACCCCATGCCTCTCTCTCCCCTGCATGATCAGCAGCACTACAGAATGCCTTTGGACCGACAGGGTGACTGGGGACACTGCCCAAGCCAAAAATTATGCATGCCTCAAGAGTCGCGATGGTTCATGCTCCTGGTACAGAGGCTGCACAGCACCGCAGCTGGGCTGATAATCTCGGCAGCCATACTGACCAGTTTAGGAAATCCTTCCTGCATTACACTGTTTAATTCCTAGTTTCTTTCCTACATCTATTTAGATCCTACATATTTTTCAAGTGTGTATGTTTTTTGTTATTAATTTGGGTTATTCTTTCCTCAGTCACAGGACTGATGATGGTGGCAAATAACTTGACTCGAGTTTAAAAAAATCACAGAAAACTCTTTGACTTGTACTGGCAAAATGTGCAATAAAGGATTGATTCTAGACTTTCTGAGTCAGTGACTTGAAGTTTAAACAACTACTTGTGGAGACAAACTGGTCTTTTTCGTCATGTAACTAAAATGAGTACATATATGAGCTCTTGGGTTGATTTCAAATAATATTTTTAAATATGGGAGTCTTTCTTGCATACACATTTTTTGATTTCAGCTGTTCACTCTTCAAGGGTTGCCAAAGTGAGTCATTCTCACTTGCCCTCAATGTCTTCTGTCCTCACTCCAACTACCTCCATGTCCTCTCCATGATCTTTTTGATTTTCCTTTTTGTATTTTTCCTGGCAGCTGCATTTCTTCTATTCTTCCACCAATTTATCCACCATCCCTCCTCTACACATGTCCAAACTGTCTCAGTCTGGCCTCTCTAACTTCATCTCTCAGTCATTCAATTTATGGTGTACGTATCTGTGATTTCATTCCTATTTTTATCCATCTGTCACTACCAAGGCGAAACTCAACATCTACAGCGCTGCCTTTTCTAGTTCTTCCCCTATTTTTTTTGTCCATGCCACTGTGTCCAAAACGTACACCATAGCTGGTCCCACCACTGTCATGTGATTTTTATTTTTCTGGTGAGATTGAGACACTGACAAGGCAGCAGCCAATCATAGATGAACTGCTAAATGAAATCAAGCTGTTGAAAAAGCTGAGTATGGAACAACAACAAAAAATACTGACTATCTGGAAAACAGAATGGCAGATGTAGAGCAGTATTCACGAATGAACGATGTCATGATCACAGGACTTGCGGTTAAACCAAAGAGCTACCTGCGGGCTGAGTGGCAGCAGAGCAAGCAACAATTCAGAACACAAAGATACAACAGAGGAGCAGGTAACCACGTTCCTGCTGAGTAAAAGCATTGCCACTGAAAGGGAGAACATTGAGACTTGTTATACATTACCAATTAGGAATCAAAGCGTCAAGTCTGCAATATCACCCATAATCATGGGTTTAGCAATAGAAAGCACAAAACTGAGCTGCTACAGCAGGGAAGACATCTGAAAGGTACAACTGTTCACATTAACAAACATTTACAAAAACGAATGCCCATGTTGCCAAGAAAGATAGACTAATAAAGAAACGGCAAGATTCAGGCTACATGAACAAAAAGTTGTAAAGCTTTCATCAAAACATGGGTGGGTCAGAGAATGTCAGATGACTGTGGGACAGGACCTTAGATCAACTGGATAAATTAAATATTGATAAGTAGGATAAAGATACTAGAGACGTATGGAAATGAGAAATGTTACATTACTGTGTGTTGCTGCTTATTTATAGGTACATTAATTGATATGATATATTTTATTGTTATATAAATAAGTTAATATATATTTTTATGTTTGATGAATATATAATTATTATAATAAGGAGTAAATTATTTTATATATTCTTTAGAATAATGTGAATTTCATCACAACAAGCTATTGATCCTGATGACAATTTCCTAAGCACCATAAACTCTTAACTGATTACCGTATTTTCTGCCGTACACGTCGCACCGCCCAATCAATTGCATCAGTCTAAATATGTCTAATAAAGTGGAAAATCCATAAATACGTTGCTTCGCCGTATACATCACATCTATTATGCCGACAACCTGGACATTCAAGGATTCAAGGTTCTTTATTTGTCGTTCACACCACATGTGGTGCATGTGGTGGGAAAAAAATGTGTACACAGGGTCCCAGTTACATCCAACAATAAAATTTAAAAGAAAAACAGTAATAAGATCTAAGATATGAACTAAGAAAAACATTAACTGAAAATACGCTAAGCACTAGTAGTACAAAAACAATATGCTGAACAGCAGCATGAACATGAGTCTGTGTGAGTAGATGAGTATGAATGAACGCAGCAGCATGAAATAAATCAGCAGCATGATGTGATTTTTTCACATTGATTATTCTGGTTAGAGATTCATGAGTGTAACAGCCTCAGGGTAGAAGCTGTTCCTCAGTCTAGTGGGTCTACACTTAATGCTCCTCAACCGCCTGCCTGAAGTGTTAGTACATTATCTAGACTGACCCTGGGTTTCTGATCTGCTCAGAGACGGGATTATAATGAAATTATAAACCTGTTCAGACAGGGTTAAATGGGGCCAGCAACTCTAAAACAAAGTCTCCCGGGGAATATAATTCATTTTGCTTGCTACATCACGCAGAAAGGCTTTTGAAGCACCGTCTAATTTTTCCTTACACGTCAAACCACCATTGAAATCACACTTAGTCACTCCCCCCATACACTGACAGGTTGTGCTCCCCTTCTGCGAAGGAGGAGTCTAGGGCCTATAAATCTGTAATGCCATGGGACATCGACTATGACGGAGCGGGGCAAAAAGTGTGTGTGCTTGGTGAGTGGGGTCCTTCATGATGCAGGTGGCCCTCTTTCTGTATCTGGAGGTGCAGATGTATGTGATGGTGGGGAGACTGACTCCAACAGTTTTCTGTGCAGCCTTCACCACTCTCTGCAAAGCTTTTCTTTCTGCAGCTGTGCAGCCTCCATGCCCCACGTTGATGCTGGAGCACAGGATGCGCTCCACTGCACACCTGTAGAAGGAGGTGAGGACTGAGCTTCCCAGACTAGCTCACCTCAGCCGCCTGAGGAAGTAGAGTCTCTGATGAGCTTTCTTGATTAGGCTGGTAGTGTTGTTGCCCCAGCTGAGGTTAACATTCAGGTGCACACGCAAGTTGTAGCTGGAGACCACTTCCACCACAGATCATCCTATGTTTTGTGGGTGGGGTGGTAGGTGTGTTTGTTCCATCTGAAGTTCATGACTTCACGTTCCAATCAAGAAGTTCAGGTCTCTCTTGTAAATTAGACCCCGAGGCTTGTGGGATTAACCTGTATAAATAAAGGTTGAACAACCATCTCCTTCGACTTCTTCACATTGATGTTGCTGTTCCTAGTCCAGCTCTCCAGGTGTCCCACCTCATGCCTGCAGCTGGACTCATTGATGTTTGTGATGCATCCCACCACCACTGTATATCGTCTGTAAACTTCACAATATGACAGTCTGGATGGGTAGGTGCACAGTCATAAGTGAGCAGAGTGAACAGGAGAGTGTAGGGATGGCGCCATCTTGTGGGCCTTCTCTGTCTGTGCACCCTTGTGTCATTAATCCTGATTGATTTCTCCTTCTGTTCTCAGCTGTTTGTGATCACTCCTGTTTTGTCTGTGTATTTAAGCCTGTCGATGAGTCTTGTCCTTTGTCTTATCGTCGTTGGGTATTGCCTGTCCTGTCAGTCTGATCTGTTCCTCGTTCCCTGTTTTTGTACGTTGCTGCCACGTCAGCCTTTTTGTTTTTATTATTAAAGAGTATTTATTTTTGTATCCTTGAGTCCTGACTCTTTCCCTGCACAACCGGATACTCTCCTGTCCTGACCTGCCTGAAACCCTGACAGAGAGGGCTCAGCACACAGCCCTGAGGGGAGCCAGTGCTAAGGGTTATAGTGGAGGGGGAGAAGTTGTGGATCCTCACAGATATAT